TACGGAGTTGAGCATTAGTAGTTGTAAACCAGAAAATNCTCCACGAAGGCAAATTTCTCCCAATACTTCATCCAGGAGTTCCCTTGTCTTCTGGATTGGGTTCAAAATTACAAGGCTACGGAGTTGAACATTAGTAGTCGTAAACACAAAAATTGGGTCTGCTGTTCAACGATGGTTATAAAAAAATAAAATAAAATATATTTTATAACCGTTACTCAACCAACATAGGCCATATATCGAATTGTTTAACTCACCCAATATCTCATAGTCACTATTCAGCCAAATTATTCTCTATATAGAATTGTCCAATTGATCCGATATTTTATTGCCTTTTGAAATACACTTTAATTCCTGATAAGTATTATATTTTATCCGCTGTTAATTTAATGATTTGCTACGTTATTATAAAAAATCGTAGTACAATCTCAAATTCGTTGTACAATCTCATATTTATATTTTTCAAAAATTTTATAAATTTTTTATCTAATTGTATCATAATTTTTATCAGAATAATTCATTCAGAGATAATTTAATATTTTGTTTCAGAGTTAGGTTTTTAAAATCTAAGAACTTTTGTGTATCTTTCCATGGATAGTATAAAACATTTTTAAACTAATAGAAAATTAGAACTACATTTAATCTTTTAGTTTTTCGGAAATGAGAGTTAAGAATAATTAATATTATGTTATATATTTATTTTTAAAGAAAAAAAATGTTTTACGTGTGTTTGTCAACCCATTTAACAGTTCAATTTGAAATGTATAGATGGCAGCACTACAAGTTAATGAAACTCCTTTGGATTCATGTTGATAGTTATTATTCTGTTAAGAATGTAAATAAATAGCTATTACAACATGTTTATAAACAGTTGTTATTGATAATATAATATGGCTATTGGTTTTCTGTCGTTATAAAAGCGTTAAATGTGGGAAGAAATTGAAAATTATAAAAACGTAAAAATTAGTCATGTTCTGTAACTGGGCATTGTTTTATAAACATTTGCATGATAAATTATTGCTTGAATTGGNTATAATATGGCTATCGGTTTTCTGTCGTTATAAAAAACGTTGAATGTGGGAAGAAATTGAAAATTATAAAAACGTAAAAATTAGTCATGTTCTGTAACTGGGCATTGTTTTATAATAATATTTGCATGATAAATTAATATATAATATTTACATGATAAATTAATGCTTGAATTGCTGTATTTATTTTTGATTACGTCGAACGTAAGTGTATAATCCACGGATGATTTGACAAAATTTCTTTAAGCATATTAAGTATTATTTTAATCTTTAAACGTTTAATTCTTGTTCCACAATGTTAACCTACGGAGAATTATATTAGCACGGTTACTTTGTAATTTAACTAATTAATAATTTTTAATATTTTTTGTTTGTTTGAATATATTTTTTAAATTTTAAGATTGCTAATATTAGTTGAATTTAATTTTAGGATTTTAAGTTAAAGAGTAAAAATTTCATCCTCGTGAAAATATATTAAACTAAATAAACTAAGGGGTAAAACTTTTAGAAATTTTGACTTGAGATATAACAGCATCGCAATTCACTGATTCTGAAATATTTAAAAAATCATCTTCTTGTTATTTTTTTTTATTCTCTTTAAATTTATGCATTTCTAAATTCGTTTTACTGAATAATCAATTGCATTAACATTTTAAGACGTTTAAAAAAAAAAAAACTGAAATTATATTTTGGTTTTAAACTAAAATTAAAAAAACTAAAATTAAATTTTTTTAATAAATAAATTTTTTTAATCATGAAACTATAAAATTGTGTTATCTACAGTTGAACTCAGTTTTATTTTGAAAATATTTTAAACTTTTAAAAGAATAGCAATTCTATGCATATTAAAGTAAACTATCATTTTCCAGCAATGATGTATCCTGAGTTCCAGTACAGGCCACCTCCCCCATCTTATCAAGCATCTATGCAAGAATACAGGCTTCGACTGCTACTCCTGGATCGCCAGCAAGGCTCTGGGTCAGCTTCCAATACAGCCTCAGCCTTATCACCTGTATCTCCACCCCCTACTTACAGGTCACACACAACAAGCACCCTTCATTCCAGGTACACATATCTTATTAGAAATCAATTGAAATTAAAGTATTGCGTTCGTTTTCATTTATGATGTCCTGTAATAACCGCACTCAATATATACTTTTTTAGAATCCTTGTCAAAAAATAGACAAACAGAAATTAATATTTAAGCGTGGAATAAACAAAGAAGCAATTTAATTCTTAACAAATTGTAAAATTTGTGGTTAGAATAGTTATTAAGGAAAGCCTTTTATTGAAGAATTCAAAATGTATCTTATTATACTTACGCTTTCAAAAATTAAAATTATTAACGTCACTCTATGGCATCTCGTTTAATAAGTACTATATAAAATAGGTAGTGGCAAAAAGATTTTATAATCAGATATAGACAATATACTGATAATTATCTCATTATAAAAATAACAAGTATTTAGTGTAAGCATATTTAGTTTGGAAAATTCACTAAAATTCCAGTCATACTTGCCCAAAAACTTATGACTGGTTTTTAATTTGTCTCCTCTAAGACTTACCGCAACCCACTTTTTCCATTTTGCCACGAGACCATATGGCACACACATTCTTGACCACAAACTCAGTGGGGTTTTTACCTTTTTACATTCAAAACGATACAAATTGGTGAAAACCCTCACCCATGGAGCTTGGGGAGATCCCCCGCCCCATATGGGCATGGATATAAGGATAGACATATTTATTTCCTTATCTTTTAATTTGTTTTCAAATTGCATCGCTAATAAAAATTCTCTGCTACTGAATTTCGCCTTTAGTTTGATATTTAACCCTTTCAGTACCGGTGGAAGGAGAATGAAGCACTTCCATAGATGCTCACGTTCCGATGTTATGTGCATTACAGAGAGCGTATTCGTACTAATACGAGAGTACTAAATTGAAATCACGCCCATGTGATCTTGTCTCCCGCTAGAATCAGAAAGGCTCGTTTTATATGTGTAACTGTGGGCCGTGATTGGAGAATAGCGTGATCACGGTCCTGAAGGTGTTAAATAAATCGGGCTCCGGTATAAAAACTTGTTTTTTTTTTTTTTTAATTGTATGCTGTTTGCGTTGCAAAAATACTTGATGCAAAAATACTTGAGTTTACAATGAAAATTATTTTTACAGGCCTCCCCTTGCGCTCACTGAGAGGGAATACAGTAGGCCACCTAGTTACCGTTCCCGGGCAAGCTCTGCGGGAGTACTGAGGCCGAGTACTGAGACTCTATGCTCTGTATCTACGCAGCCTCTGCAACAACCTCAGCCAACTGTCCTCACAACTAGTCACAGTCGCAATCCTTCGCTGAGTCTCAGCTTCCTGTCTCACGAATCACTCTTCCTAGACTCTGGTCATTCGAGGCCTGCCAACCAGCAGGATCCGGTACACTTCACAAGTCCTAGTGGCGAGTCACAGAACTCTGTTGTGGCCGGCCTTAGTGATGACAGTCCTCCATCTACAGGTCTATCCTCCACTTGGGGTCGTGGCTGGAAACCTCACCACCACGACATCAATGCAGTGACCATCGTCCAGACTACTGACTCGTCCCAGGTGCTCAACAGGGACACAGTGATACTGTCAGTACCAGGCAGGGAGGTGCCTGATTTGGGAAATACATCAGCATCTGCTGGTGAAGTGAGGATTTTGGCCCATGTATGATAATGAATAATTTAGTTACTTCAAAGACTGTTTTTTTTTTCTTCTATCACTTTCAAGTCATTGTGTCAAATGAGAAGTCAGGATGTTGAGTTTGCTTTCGTTCATTTTAAGAACACTTCAACAATTGTATGGCCTGTGCGTGCATTTTGTTGCCATTTATTACAGTTCGTAATAATTCTAAAAAATAGATAATCTTTTTCACCCATTTGGTTTCTATTCCCAAACTTAATTTTTAAAGTAAGATACAAGTAATAAAATGATTAGGTAATTACAATTCGAAAATACTAACGGACGCTTT